TACATATTTTTAAAATTTTAATACTTAATAAAACTAAAAATTAATTAAAAACCAGATAAAATAAGTAAACAAAATAAATAAACAAATAAAATAACAAAAAGAAAACAATTGAAACTTTGAAATTTTTAATTAGATACAAGTACAAAGCAAAAAGTATTTGAATTTTTTTTAACAAAATTATTCACCTAAAAAATATGAAACTGTAATGTTCCACTGCTTTACACTTCTTGTTGTTCCGAATATTATAAACTTTCTTGTTATTTTTAAATAGAAAACTAAGGGTCAATTAGTCGATTTACGAAAAACAAATTAATTTTTTTTTATCGGTATAGCTATTTATGTATCAAGTACGCAAAATAGGGGTTTAGGGGACGAGGCGACGTGGAGTCACCTAAAACCTTTTGCGTACGTGGTGCATACAAGATTTTTTGTTAAAGCTCCCAAAACACGAATTCACACCTCATTTTAGGGATTCAAATGAGTCCCTAAAACAGCTGTTTTCGGGAGCGTATACAAAAAAATTAATTTAAGTTAAATTGTCATTTATTGCTAAACACTGAAAATTTAAACTTCATTGCATTTTAAATATTCTGTAAACCGGCCCTAAAAATAATATTTGATAAATTTTTTCTACATAAATTTGGTTTATTTATACTATTTTTATAATTCTTTTGTTTTTTAAATACATAAAAACTGAACCAAAAGTAACGCACAAAATTCATATTTTTTTATAAGTATTTCTTACCAAAAACAGTAAACAAAAATGTTGGTTGTTATTTAAAGAAATACTGATAACGTCGTTACTTAAAAAAAAAACATTGACGTTATAAATATTAGTAGAGTAAAAATCTATCATTTATAAAAATAACATAAACTAGTTCAAGGATTTTTTTTAAAGGATCCATACAATTATGAATTTTTTGAGTTACTTTTGGTTCATCCTGTATATACGTTTTAAAGCTTATTTCTTGATCTTCAAGACAAGTTTTTTTGTCTCCTCTGTTCATTGTTAATGTACAATAAATACTTCCATTTGAGATCTACAAGGTGATTTTTAAAAAACGGCAGGCACTGTAGAACTTTTTTTAATGGCTCGATTTCAAAAATTAAAAAAAACTATTAAATGGCTTTTAATATAGTAAAAGCTTTTTTTATAATTTGGAGGCATTAATTTCCTTGGTATAGGCATGTGCAATATGTTTCACTTTTATTATAGATGATTGTTTAAAAAAAACAAAGTTAAAAAAAATAATAAATAACAATAAAATTTAGTTGCATGATGTCAACTAAGACAATGCCATTATTGTAATGTCAAAAAGCTGTACTTCTTATTGAATCCTCTTGGTATGGAAACGATGAACAAAAACACGATTAAACCCGTCACACTAAGTTTTATTTCAAACACAACGCGTTTCAACCACAAAGTGGTCATCCTCAGGTGAGAATAAAAACGAAAGAATAAGAATTGTAAATGAAAGAAAATATTGCCAACATTTTTTCAAATTAAATGCCTATAAAAAAACTACTCGTAATTTAAAGTGATTTTAATGTCAATTTTTTTACTGATACCATGCAACTAGATTTTAACTTTTTTTTTCTACTTTGATAATTTTTTTAA